ACAGGCGACGAGGTCAAATAATTGTACGCAAAAGAAAAACTATTGGAAATGCGCGGTTGAACTCTGAATGGGTGAGAAGTAGTTTCGCTAACCCCTGACCCTAATCCCAACCCCATATCCTAAACCCTTACCTCAACCCTGAACTCTAACCCTAACCCCTAACCATAGCCCCTAACTCCAACTCCTAACCCTAACCCCAACCGTATTGTGTCCATCAGGTGGGGCTACCAAATCACATCTAACCGAAAATTGATCTTTGTTCTGCGTAAATCAGGTGAAACAGATTGTGAACAATGAGGCTGTTTTCAAAAAAAAACAGGAGCTTTGTCAATTTTATAAAAGTCATGTTTGTAAGTCTGTGATTTCTTGCCTCAAAATCTGTAATAACGCCTACCGGCAATCCTTTGTTTGAACGTATTCATATTGTCCTGTCATTTAGGAATATAGCACGACTTTCGCGTCCTCGGCGGTTCCGCTTTTCTTAAAAGAATTGTTACTTCCTACCGACTATCTGCTACTTCAAGTATTTATTTTGCGTTTTCCTTTAACTGAAGGTCGTTTCTTATTGGTTTGGTATTTTGGAGCATGCATTTGCTGTCGTTTCTTGAGCATTTACGATTGTTTTTCGTTAAGTTGGTAGGAGACAGGAATATGAATCCCCGAAATACAAGTGTGCTTAGTCTAACTTGTCCGTGTTAAAAACCCAACCCTAACACTAGTCCTAACTTGAGCCCTAACCCTAACCCCAATCCCCTGGGATTTAGCGCAAGATCGCCTGTGTTGCGGAAGTTCCTGTTGCCGAGGTACATCTACTTCAACGTCGCCGCAGTCCGCAAAAACGGTCTCTGCTTCCAAAGCGTTGGTCATAAGGCCGTCTAGTCGGCCATATAGTACTGGAGAACAGCAACCGTTTATTTCTACAACAGAGCAGTCCCCACTTCATGCCGTCTTGCTGTTCAGTTTCGCTATCGCCTTGAGGATCCTCTAGGTAGATGATGTCTGTAGTCATAATCATACTCTACCCTCGGGCGCCTTCAGGCTGGATGAGAGCCGAGTGGAGCGAACCAGCTGGTACCATAATCTGGATGGAATGCTCCCTCCAGTTGGGTGTCGTGTGCACGCTTTGCTTTGTCCTTGCACGTTGGCGCGGACTGCCTCCTAGTGAAAGTCCGGCGTAGCACCTTCGTTTCCCCGCCAACTGAAGCTGGATACGACAAACTTCAGCTGCTGTAGGACGCAGTAAAAAGCTTACTATCCGCTGGAGGAATCAAAAGAATAATGCATTCACTGTGGTCTACTGATTATTGCCATCTACTAGTATGAACAGGCTGACCTGAGCGACTATTTTAATAATCCTTTAATTGACCGTTTCAGTCATGCCGTCGATAGGACAGTGGTGAGAGCCCGTTGTGTGTTGTTGACTAGGACAGAATTTTTCTCATCCACCCTGCCTGATTATTCGCCAAGTCTTTTGTAGGTTTCCTGCAGTGAGTGACCTTTTTCAGTACGAGTAGAGGTTTTAGCACTGACAAATGGGCTAAGGTGGAGCGCTGACCTGAACACTTTGGGCGCCTTCTCAACACTGACGACCAGCTTATCATCACCTCTCTATCTCTCCGTGGTCACAATTCTGAGACGACATGATAAAAAGATCCCTGCAGAGGGAGATCTTCTCACTGAAGCCGGAAAAGGACCATCCCTACTGACTGGACTCGGCCGTCCTTGCGCCTGTATGTGGACAAGAACAGCTGCGGCACCATCCCAATCAACACTAATTCGAGTGTTTTTGTCATCGTCAATTTCCCGATTCAAACAAGTCTGACTTCAGGTCGTGCGTGGGTGTTGCGAGCAAAAGTACTCATTGCGGTGCGTTCTCAAATTCCAGCATGCACACACCAGCAACAAACGACCATCCTTTTTGCTTTTTTTGATTCTGCTCGCTGTGAGTCACTGCGGTGACCACCTAAACGGCGCCAACACCACTTGCTTTCGGGTCAGCAACGGACTTTCCCAAAATATCAATATTTTTATTTGGCGTGGTTGACTGCATATGCGAGATAGCTGTTCGTGATTTTAACAGTGTCGCCTTTGCACCAAAGAGTCGACTGACTAAAATAGACTAGGCGAACGATACCACCATTCCAACGCCAAAGATATGATGGCCCACAGAATGTGTCGTCAAGTGCCAACGAGGTAGCCAAATCAGGTGGTTGATCCATCAACGCTGTGAAGATCTAAGCTTTTCCGAGCTATACTTCTAACCGTTGTGAGTGGTGACTGCCCGTTCTAAAAAAATGTTCTTGCCAATTACTATGCACTTACGTTTCTGTCGAATGGACTGGGGTGGGGGAAACATCTGCGCTTGAAGTGGTTTAACTCGCGAGGTTTTCGCGGGTTTTTCAAGATGACATGCGCTCGTTACTGCATTTCAATCAGTTAGATATTGGGTCAGTAGTAACAACTTTGAGTGTGGTTTATTGTTGATATCACACAGTCTGGCAGCTGAAAGTGAGCTTCAGTTAATAGGGAGCATAAGATTACGTGTGAGGGAAAGTCAATGACAAGGAAGATGTCGTAGCACGGTATCTAAAGTGGCTGGAGGGATCTGAGCAGATATAGACATGCACGAGGATATTTAATTAATATTCAGCACGACAAGACCCAGTTGCGGAAGAGCTCCTAGTGTAAATGTGGTCCGCCTGTCTGACAGCGGCCACCGGGTAGGCGTCAAGCAAGCCATTTGAGGCATTAACACTACGCCATCGAAACATTCCGAATTTGTACGCCAGCGAACACTTGCGGTGTCAGGTGAGATTACCATACGGTTAATCTACCCGGTCTTATGCTGGCTGAAAGCGCCAGTTTAAGCCTTTCAGTTATTCTAGTCGAACTTGAGCCTGCACATTTCCGTCCGCATCCAATTAATTTGGATAACATCGATTAAACACAAATGTACTCCTCTGACAAGCTGCCCCCTGTCCCCTGACCCCAGAATCGGACTATAATTCTTCCCCTCTGCGCGGTGCGTCTGGCGATCCCTATTCCAATTCCCCCTTCACACCTTGTGTTTGGTTATTTCTCACCTTTAGCTTTTCCACTGAGACGTGTTTTACTGTTCAGGCCCAATGGTGCGTTATTGGTACGTTCTACTTATGTTTTGAAAGTAAACCGTATTATGTACATCACACAGATGAGTTCGTCGGTCGTAAAGGTTTTTGCCTGTCGAGATTAAACGTGAAAATCGACTGTCTGCGAACTCGTCGCATTAAATTCTTATCCCTTTTTGGATAACAACAAACAAATCCCCCCTATAAGGTCTGTCCATTGTCCGATGTTTTCAGACCAGAACGGCTAAGCGAATCTGGGCAGCATAAAGCAGACTTGCATGTCATCCTCCTTACCCTCTACGCCAGCATCTGGCGTGTTCCAAGGGCAAGGTAAGGTGACAACGATAGGAAATGGACGTGAGTGCAGTGAAGGACGAAATTTAACTGGCCATTCTGTACGCTGCGCGCAGCCTCGTCTCTAACTTAAAATTAATCGAGCTTCAGGGAGCGAGGGAGCCTCGGAGTTCACACCAGCTAGACCGTTATGAAAGTTGCCATCGCATTCTGACCCCTAGTTCTAAGTAGGACTGATTAATTCCGTCAGCGAGCAGCCTTTTAAGCCATTACCTTTAGCTTGTCTTGAAAGTCCAGAAATGTGCTTGGTTATTTTTAGTGGAGAAATCAATCGATTTATCCGGGCTGGGTCGGTAGTACTCCCTCTACCCTCTCACGTATGCATGGGACATTTCCCGGCCAAGCCTGCCTAGGATGGGAATTACCGCAGTAGTTGCGATGGCATTGCTGGGCTGCAACGATCAGCAAGCACAGAATAGGCCGAACATGGGCATGCGTCTAAAAGGGATCTGCGGAACATACTAGAGGCAGTAATCCTTCTCACTGGGAAATCACAAAACGCCACCACTCTCCGTGAATGAGCCGTGTTCACAAACGTCTTATCTACTCAGGTGAGCCACAATTGGCTGAGATGACGGGACTTTATTTGTGGGCGAATTCATGTGACCAGCAGATAAACCCCTGCGCATCCGCAACACTGCACGTCTCGAAGCTATGACAGTTCGACCGTCGCATCCGACGGTGTCTCCCGTGTGCTCCCCAGCAAGGTGAAACAGGCACGGTGACTTGGGCGCGAATTGGTTTATAGTGAGTCAAGACTGTCACCGCATCTATCGCACTCCTCCCTCCTCACTCACACGAGCCCAGAATCAAGACAGAGTCAAGAAGACCGGAGGCGGGGGAGGGGGCTGGTGGATGGTCCGCCGAGCCCCCAACTTGGCGCCCCAATCCACACCCTCTGGTCCACACAACAGCTGACCAGGACTTCAACTAACAGCACCACGACGGATCAGAAGAAGGAGAATGACTGGATAGCCATGCTTCCGACCTGTATATCCAGCAGGAGTGCAAGCGCATTTACCGGCAGGGAACCAGGTGTCGGAAAACTGCCAGTCCATATCAGGCTACGAAGACCATGGTTTGCTGATCCTGGCATAGTAGATGCTTACAGACCATTTGGCTTAGAAGAGCGACGCGTGCCTTTGCATTTGCCTGCGTCGTCACCCTTTAAGGCTAGGTAGTCAAACAGTTGTCGACTGGGAGGCACTACCCATAAAACACACACGTACATACACTCTTCACATGCATGAGTGTCATAGATCATTTATGACGGAGCCGTTAGAGCCTGGATCTCAGTCCACCAGTCCGTTCCCCTCTCACGCAAACACGTAGCTAGGCAGACTGTGTGGAACGATTCGGGGCGTCAGTCGGTAACCTCCCATGCCACGGCGCGCGGCGCACCGTGATAGTCTCGGACTCGGATTACACATGCAGCCGCATGGAGAATGAGCCGAGAAGCACACTTCCCACTTGCGTAGGAGGTGGTAGTTGGGTGCTTGTGATGGGTGATGGTGGGAGAAAGTGTGATGGTATGGTTGTCTACCGCAGGTTTTCGTGGACGCGCATGCGTCCTAACAAGCCCATGCCGTGAGTGAATGTGCGAGTGCAATGAGAGCGGTTGGAGCGGATGCGGAGAGTGTATGATGGTGTCCCAAGCACCGATCCGATAGTCTCTGTGCGATGGATTCGCAAGTGACCGACCGGACCGATTTGTGAATTGAATGTGCGATCGCGATGCGAACAAACATAAGCCGAGTCCGCATCGCTGGAGGTGGGAATGTCAACGATGTTCGGGGTTGATGAAACGTCGGTCGTTGTCCTCTGGGTGGGGAAGTGCGTGAAGACTTGGTGGTGATGCTGGCCGCTGCAGTCGATGCGGGGTTGGGGCAGGGTGGATGCTGTCGGCGGACGGTGGCGAAAGGACAGCGAGATCGTGATCGGCGGTGACGAGGGTGGCGGTCGGCGCAGGGTTTGCAGCAGGGCGAGAGTGGGAGAAGAGGTAGACGTTACCTGGTTGACGGCATATTGGGTTCGAAGGTGTCCAACGGGACCGATTTGTGCGCAGGATGCGCGTTGACAGCACGGGCGTGTTGGAAGCGGTGGATGCTTGGCACTCAGGAGTCGAGACAATCGTGATTTGCGAGCCTCCACGCTAACTTTGGCGACAGCGGCGGCGGCGATCCGATCTGCTTCTTCAATTCTCTTCTCCAGGCCGGTCTGTTCTGGGCGAGGTCCTCCCAGATCTTTGGATTGATACGCAATCGCTTAAGAGAATAATTCTATGTGTCCTTGAAGCATCGTTTTGGCTCTGCGTGTCGGCAAGCACCGGTGGCGAAATCATTATAGGAGAGTTGTTTCGGTGGTCGTGCATCTTTTATCCTCAAGAGATAGCCGCTCCAACGTAGTTGTATTTGCATGAACATGGCGTGAATGCTGAGGATTCCGGTCCATTCTAGGACTTCCGTGTCAGGGATACCGTGTTGCCACCTGAGCTTCAGTTGTATGAGAAAGCAGCTGAGATGAAAGTGGTTGAGTTCCTTGGCATGGTTGGAATAGATGGTCCAAATCGTATAAAAGTGTCGTCAGGACGACGGCCTTGTACATTGCCGGTTAGGTATTCAGTTGGAGGCCGTGACGATTCCACACGGAGTTCTGCAGTCGGCCGAAGACTTGAATGACTTTGGAGATCCGGTGGACAACCTCATCGTCGATTCTGGTGCTGTTGAAAAGTGCGCCTCCAAGATAAGCAAGATTGTTCACGGTTTCGAATTGGTGGCCGTTGAACGGCCGAAGTTGGCACACCCAGCTGCGAGAAGGTCCAAACTCCGTCGCGTGTCTACTTCGGTCGTGGTTTCGAGCGCGCAGTTGTTGGAGAAGAGTCGATTGCGAACCATGGTCGTAGATAATCGCGTCCAGACCTGCATTCGCCTGCTGTTGAGGAGATGCCCGTCAGTTCCGTAGGCGATACGTATCCCGGAGCGCTCATCACGGTAGGCCTCCATCAGCATGACAGAGAATATGAGACTGAAGAGGCTGGGCGCGAGGACGCAGCCCTGCTTCCCTCCACTGGCCACTGCGAATGCCTCGGAGCTTGCGCCGTTGTCCGTGACGCGCGCCATCATCCCACCATGGATCTGACGTACCACGCGTGTGAATCGTTCAGGACAGCCTAATTTCTGCACGGTCCTCCGCGATTCGTCTTATCAAAGGCATTCTTTAAGCCCACGAAGGTGGTTCTGGAGGTTGTAAAAGCGAACTGGCAGGCGGCTCTGCCGGTGGGGGTCGGTTGAAACCGGCTTAAATTTAAAAATAACTTACTTCCGCCCCTAGACGCCTCATAACGGGCGTTCTGCTTCTTTTAAGTTCGTTTAAAGAATTTTCAGCGATTGCTCAATCGATTAATACGAAAGGTTATTCACTGGCTCAGCGGAGAGGTGATCACTAAGTAGGAAGAACAACTCTGCAAGTTGTTCAACCGACTTATCACCGATTAGCCTCGATTCGCCTTCTGTCGAAGCACTTCTAGCAGTCCCCACTCCACTTCTCAGACATTAAGCAAATCAGAATACCGCGGCTACAGAGGTATGACAGTCGAAACGTAATCGGCGGTAATGACGAGCCCCCAAATGAGCTGCAGCTAAACGGAATTGGTAGGAGAGTGCTTAATGTAGGCAGAATGGCATTACCGACAAAGACAAGGGAGACTGGAATGGCCATTTCTGACTTATTAGCCGTCGTCGTCATACCCAAGCCTGAGGTGTGGGATACCTGGTGCTCGAAACCGCGACCCGCTAGTTAGAAGTCCACGCCTCTAACCACTGAGCCACAAGTCCGTTGCCCTGTCGGTTTCGATCGGGAATATACAATGGTAGGAGGCGCTCGCCGTTCCTTCTTAGGGAACTCACTCGTTCCGTTGTGCCTTACGGGTTCTCTCTTGAGCCCGACCAGCAGCCGCACAGCGGCGCATGATATAGGTAGAATGGCACACTTCAGGGTTGGGTATGACTGGCTGACGACGGCTAATAAGCCAGAAATGGCCATTTCAGTCTCTCTTGTCTTTGTCGGTAATAACATTCTGCCTATATCACGCGCCGCTGTAAGGCTGCTGGTTGGGCTCAAGAGAGAGCTCGTAAGGCACAACGGAACGAGTGAGTTCCGTAAGAACGATCGGCGAGCGCCCCAACCAGAGCTTAATGTGTCACGGGGCTTACAGGCATGTCGGAGACCAGCAGAAGCAACTGTGCCATTGGGTTGTCATTTTTAGTCACGGTACGTGGTGTGAGGTAGCGTCTGAGCAATGACCGCCTGCAGCAAATTAGCAAAGAAGATGTTAATTGGTATAACGCTTTCGCCGCTCCGAGGGTTTTAACACGAGGCACAGGCATACAGTAGACGGGGGGAAGGTGCTAAGTGAGCAGAAGGTGATACGGGTAAACAGGCCTGTTCGCAGCTAGAGTAGTAGACTGCCATAGTGCCCCAATCGAAGTCGAGGACAGCACTAAACGATGCAAAAGGACTTGTCCGTGCCTAAAACACGGGATTAATAAAACTATAATGAAGGCGGGTGTAGCCCACCCGTGCGTAGTGAAGATACAAACGGACGATGGGTGGTGAACTGTGTGCCGCGACGCATAGTACGGCGAAACAATGGCCCGTCTCATGACCATAGACAGCATTACTGACCCATAAGTCAGCTGCAGCATTTCTGCAACCCAAGATCTGGTAAGTGCAGGCTTCTCTGGTCTTTAAAAATGGATAGTCAAAACCTTCGTTGGGAATCTGAAAACAGAAATGAGTTTCTTCCACTGGACGCCACTCCTTATTTTGAGAAATGCGTGGGCTTTCAAGGGCGGAAACGGACGCTCCCACCTTGCTTTGACACTGTCTACAGCTGACTCAGGCAGTCGCGTTACAGCTTACAATCATTGAGAACAATTACCGACAGATACATGAGCATTGAATTGGGATCCTCTGGGTTATCCGCGCAATCAGCCACCGATTATTCGAGCGAAGGTGCTGGCGCATGTGGGGCTCGACGCCAGGTCCACTCGGTCATTTGAGCTACCGAACCAGTCCTCTGTTGACTGAGATGAAGAATATGAAAATCTCGAGTCGGACCCCCCCCAACGAAGTTCTGCCCCAATGACACTTGGGTGCAAATTTGTCCCTCAATATCCCCTGCTACCTTCATGTCAAAGTCCTTTCCAATACAATTATTAGTCTTTGCCTCTTATGAAATTAACGTCAACTCTTAGCAGACTAGTTGGGATGAAGGTTCACAGGTTCAGTCCCGAAGACGTGTCTATCCCCTTGGCTCATACTTGTCAGAACCGCAAAAATCACGGGAAAACACCACTCACAGTTCTCATCGCATTCGACTTAAGGGTCCCCATTATGTCCCTTGATCCCTAATCCGACAGTTTGGAGACATCCACAATTTTTTCCTCCTGCATTATCTGCCACCTCTGCTGCTTTCATGCAAGCGGATATCCTCATCCCCAGACGCATTCTTTGCATATTGTTGTCGGTGTTTATTTCGGACACGGTACCTCACGGCGATCAGACACCTTGGTCGAATTCTCGACAATTGCGCATCCTCCTCGCCCTAACCCAACTGCCATGAGGTCAATCCGTTCACATCGGTGTAGCTTCCCCTATCGTCTACCGCATATCGACGTCTGGAAGTCCATTTCTGCCGTCCTTAGCACATTTTCTAACATTTAAT